CCAATTTCAATCTAGACTCTATGAAACGATCTAAGGTTTTGAAAGAAATTAAATAGAATTTATTTATTTATTTATTTATTAAAACTTTATTGCACATACAGTCAAATTGGCGGACTTAATGCCGTAGGCATTTTCTGACAGTCGACCATTGGGTGGTGCAGAATGTTAAAGCGGTAGGTGCAAAATTGTAAAAAGAAAGTATGAAGTAGATAACGAAGTTAAGGTAATAAAATATTAAAGAGGGAAGACATGATTGTTATAGTCGATAATACATAACTAAGGGTATAGGGTCTTAAAATGAATTATATAATAAATATATATCCCAAATATGCATACATATCATATGATATAATTACTATATAATACATACATATGGTGGTAGGTGCTTGTTGCCTCGTCGGCCCAAGAATTACAACAAATGGTCACTGCTATGAGTGATGCATTTGAAAGGAAAGGTATGAAAATAAATGTGAACAAGACGAAAGTGTTGGTGATAGAAAGAAATGAGGTGGTAACAGAATGTCAGGTAATGATAGGTGATGAAAAATTGGAACAAGTGAATGAATTTGTGTATCTGGGATCACTATTTACGAGAGATGGAAAGTGTGACGGGGATATTGAAAGGAGAGTGAAAGCGGGAAATAGTGTTAATGGTGCTTTACACTCTGTAATGTCGAGTAAAATAATATCCAGCAAAGCTCGACTTGCTGTAATGCAGTGTGTATTGACACCAACGCTTATGTATGGTAGTGAATCATGGGTGTGGCAGAAGAAGCATGAAAGCAGGATTAATGCGGTGGAAATGAGAGCCCTGAGAAGTATGTGTGGACTAAAATTGAGTGATCGAGTGAAAAATAGTGTTATTAGAGAGAGGTGTGGATTGAAAGACGATGTAGTGACAAGGATTGAAAAGGGAATGTTACGCTGGTTTGGACATGTAGAAAGGATGGATGAAAGTAGAGTAACGAAAGAAGTATACAGAGCGGATATGAATGGAGCCGTCGGTAGAGGGCGCCCTAGACGGACATATAGTGACCAGATTGGCGATATATTAAAGAAGGGCCAAATTAAAAGTACCCTTAACCGACGAGCATGCATGAAAAGATTGATGACTGTTAATGAAGCGAAAGAGGTATGTAAGAATCGTAGTAATTGGCGTTCCTTAGTCTCTGCCTACCCCCATGGGAGACAGGCGTGAAGTTATGTATGTATGTATGTACATACATATATAAATAAATGAATTTATATTAAAAATGGATTTTAAACCTAAGATCTTGTATTGAGCTCGATTTGTTTATTAATTTCGGCTGTTGTTTATTGTGTAGTCTTCAAACTAAAATATTACAGTCACACAAAACACGACTTTGACACAACACGTGGTATTTTTGTCACAGTCATACAGCCGTACTCAAATGATTACATGAACTATGCCTTAGTAACGATTTCATTCTGGAAATAATTGCTCAGGATTGAGTTAAAATACCATTAAATGGTCATTAGGTTATTATTAGGGTTCTGTCTACTATTCACATCATCAGCCTATAAATGGCTACTGCTGAGCACAGACCTCTTCTCACACGAACAAGTTTGAGTATTAATCACCACGCTTGCTCAATGCGAGGAATAAAAAGTAGCCTGTGTGTTATTCCAGACCATTATGTTCCAAATATCATCTCGGTCCCTTCAGCCATTTTGACGCGAATGAGTAACACACACACACACACTTTTACATTTGTAATATTAATTAAAGCACTTACCTCAACTTCATCTTTGATTCCTACACACTGATTACATTTGTGTTCCATTATTATTTAGTTTTTTAAAAACAAAAATGACAAATAAATTGATTACGTTGTGGACACAACCAACGCGTCGTACAGGTGCGGGATCACAGTACAGAATGTTTTGAAATTAAACGAACGGAGTGGTGAGCGAGAGAGCGAGTGAGCGAATGAGTACTGAGTGTAGTGTAGTGATGTGCTAACTCAGAATGAATGGAACCCGAGTTGAAATTCGGATAACTTAAATCGATTGAACGAATTGAGTGATTTGAGTGGACTGAATGAAACTACTAAACAGAAAATAAAAGAAAAAAAATTAGACACTTAAAATACTTGGGCTCGAATCAAATGAAGACTTGTCTATGGTCCACAGACAGAGTATGAATTGCTACTGTTTTAATAATTACTATTATCTGTGGATGTGTATGGAAGAATTGAAGAATTGGGTAGTTTCCTAGCTCAAAAATAAATGATTTATACTCTTCAATACAATAATGTATTAAAATATAATCGTTCTTTCAATAATAGATTTGAAGATATGCTTCTTTTTTTATTTTTCTACTTAATTTTAATGAAATAAGTTAGCTATTTGACGTAAAATTTGATGACGTCATATACGGCGACCTTAATACAAAATTCATGGAAAAGTATTGTTTATGACATTTTGATAAAAGTATTGAATTTGACTAGTTGTGAACTTCCGAATTGTTAATAATCGGGTAACTCAAATTGATTGAACGAGTTAAGTGATTCGAGTTAACTACCTAACTCGATGAGAGTTTGACGCTGTATTGTCGTTACGTTGTTCTCACATAATTATGTATACAATAGGTAAGGCTCATATTATATATTATGTATCTATATTTTATAGATTACTTTAAAAAGTACCTATATTTAAGATAGTTTTGAAAAGTATAACGATGGAGTTTCTTGCTCGTCCTTCTCCATTCATAACTACACTTTGGAACGAGCGCCGAGCTTCACTGGCAATTCCGTGTGACGTTTCAAAAGTGCCAAATTAAGGAATAATTGAAATTTATTTCAATTGCTTTGACTTTGACATCATCATCATCATCATCAACAGCCGGAATACGTCCACTGCTGGACAAAGGCCTCCCCCTTAGCCCTCCACGACTTGACATGATTTTGACATGGATTTCATAAATTCTTTGTTTATTTTGATTTCACCATTACACAATTACAACCTAAGTTTATTTATAAATATAGCAAATTTTTATGGCATAAGCCTGTAAACGAGCAGACGGATCACCTGATGGTAAGCAATCGGCGTCGCCCGGCTTTTTGGGATGAGGAGTTCGAGGATCGTTGGGGATTCAGAAATTGCGGAGATTGGGAAAGGGGTGGGTGGTAATTGAGCCTCCAGTAAACTTATTCACGCGACGAAACACATTGTTGTATCACTCCGGCCGAGCCGGCCCATTCGTGCCTAAGCATGGCTCTAAAAAATATTAGACACGTGTTTAAGTGTTCTCACACTTAAACACGTGTCTAATATTTTTTCATTATCTTACTGATTAAATATATTTTCTATTTTCATACCCCGTCATCATCCCTCACGCTCGAATACTGAAAGACTACTCAATTTTAAGTTGTACTTAACAGAACGATAGTTAAGCGCGAGTTAAAATTGAGTGGCGTTTGAGTATTGGAGGTTTACTTTCCTACATATCTTCGCGAGCCTTCCTTGTCTCCAAAATCTCCCTCTTTAACTGAGCGTTTTTCAGCTTTAGTTTTTGTATCTCCATCTCTATTTTTTGTATCTTCATTTTTATTTGGTGTTCCTTTTCCCGCATCTCCATCCGTCTTCTCTGCTCGTGCAAGAATTCTTGCATCATAAAATTGTCCTGTATCTTAGAAAACATATAGTTCTCATTCTCCTGTAAAAAAGAAACAAAGAGTTAATTAACCGATTTCATGGAGGCCCATTTGTTCATACGAAAGTTGTCTCTAAACATCGTAGATAAGGTCTATAATAGGGAAAATGGAGAGCGGTTTGTCAAGTCAAGAGCGTTAACGCGATTAAATTTAGGAAATATTTTCAAAATGTCTTTTAACGACCAAACAAATGAGCACTCTCAATTCAATATCCCTAAACCGTGAATTTTGTCTTATTACACCTTCAACTTTATTGTATTGACATAAAGTCGAAAATACAACGAGTAAATTTGACACAATGGGGCAGGACGATTTGCTGGCCACTGTACCTGCGACGCACGTGTTCATTCTCTGTCAAAGGAACTTACACCGGACAATAACAAACAGCGACAAAAACAAATGGCGATATCGGTCCATTCTTTAGTGCGTCATGCGATGGCCAAGAGAAGTTGGCAATAATTTTAATGTATTATATGTAGACTTTTTTTATTTATTACACTATGCTAAAAGTGTGTTTGTGTGTGTGTTTGTTACTCAATCGCGTCAAAATGGCGGAAGGGATCGAGATGAAATTTAGAACAGGGATAGATTATGGTTTGGAATAAGACATAGGCTACTTCTTATCCCACGAGAACTCAGGCGATTTATATAATTATAAGTTTGAACTCGCATTGAGCAAGCGTGGTGATTAATGCTCAAACTTTCTCCGTGTCGGAAGAGGTCTGTGCTCAGCAGTAGCCATTTAGAGGCTGTTAATGTGAATAGTAGATAGAACCCTAATAATAACCTAATGACCATCTCATGGTATTTTAACTCAATCCCTAGCAATTATTTCCAGAATAAAATCGTTACTAAGGCATAGTTCATGTAACCATTTGAGTACGGCTGTATGACTGTGACAAAAATACCACGCGTTGTGTCAAAGTCGTGTTTTGTGTGACTGTAATACTTTAGTTTGAAGACTACGCAACAAATAACAGCCGAAATTAATAAATAGGTCGATGTCAATACAAGATATTAGTTTTAAAATCCATTTTTCATAGACATAAATTCTATTTAATTTATGTGAAAAACTTAGATCGTTTCATAGACTCTAGATTGCAATTGGTCATTTGTATTTTTGGCCCTTACTTAGTTAATAGCATTTGTAATATTAATTAAAACACTTACCTCAACTTCATCTTTAATTCCTACACACCGATTACATTTGTGTTCCATTATAAATAATAATGTTTTTTTAAATAATGACAAAGAAATTGATTACTTCTTGGACACAACCAACGCGTCGTACAGGTGTGGGATCACAGTACAGAATGTTTTGAAATGAAACGAACGGAGTGGTGAGCGAGAGAGTGAGTGAGTGAATGAGTACTGAGTGTAGTGATGTGCTAACTCAGAATGAATGGAACCCGAGTTGAAATTCGGGTAACTCAAATCGATTGAACGAATTGAGTGATTCGAAATGGACTAAATTATTTATTTATTTTGTTTTGACCATTTCAAAGTCTTAGGTCCGATTTTCAATAACCATATAATTTTTATTCGGCGTTGGACATTATTTTGTACATAAAGAAAGAAAGAAAAACTATTGATTTATGCGCAGAACACACATAAACTTTACAACTACAAAAATAATACATTTATTTGGAAAGCGAAGGTAAGCTGAATTTAAAAAAAAAATAATTAAAAACTTGAAATTGTTATGGTTTAAATCAAATGAAGTCTTGTCTATGGTCTACAGACAGAGCATGAATTGCTAATGTGTTAATAATTACTATTATCTGTGGATCTGTGAATTTGACGATATGCTTCATTTCTTTATTTTTAACTGAAATATGATGCGACGCGACACTAGGATAAACTGGTTTTGTATAAATTGATGTGTACTTAATGGCACTATACAATGTATCACCCACTTTTCACTATATATGTTATGAGTCCCATGTTATAGTGGGTAAACCTTTTGCCCTATACCGGACTCTTTTTAGACTCCGTGCTACTATTGAGTTTTTTTTTAAAAAACCCAGTATTTAATTTGCCCGACTCGGACCCCTTGCCCGGCAGTCGCGTTCGCAAAAACTCGGCCAATGAGGCTTTATAATAAACATTTGTACTTATAGTATGAAGTTTCTGTCAACAGGTGGCGCTAGTTACACTAGCCGTTATATGTACTTTCAAAAAACGAAAAAGGTTGATGTCTATTTTTGATATAGTTTATTGAATTAAAATATGTGTTTTTTTACCTCAAACAGGAGTGAAATCCACTACTGGCGTTGGCTTGGCGTCCGTTGTGCCGGTTGGTGTGTAAACAGACCTCTTGAGAAACTGTACTGGCGTGGAGTACTCAAGTCGCCTTACCTGGCTAACACTCTACTTGGAGAACCCGATGTAAGTCGCATTTTGAACCTTATTTTGTTTTAAGTAAGTGTCAGTTATGTACTATTAATACTGTCATAAAAGAATCTAATGTAAGTTGTATTTTAAATCTTATTTTTTATGTAGAAATTGTTAATTTCCAATGTACCGGGTAACATAGTAGTTACCTTTTTGAATACTGTTCGGGGAAAACGATGCGAGTGGCATTTTGAACCTTAAGGTACTGTTACACATGCTCTAAAATAGCATGCTAAAAAGTATTCTATTGATCATGGTCAAAAATGTTCAAAAATCGAACGCCGATCGATTCATAAACATGCGTGAAATGAGCGTATTGGATACTTGCTTTTTCAAAAATAATATATGATTTCAACTGTTCAATACAATAAAATATTAAAAAATAATCACACTTTTATTAATTGATTTTATGACCAACTTAATATTATATTTATTCAGCAAATTTTTAAGTATCTATGCTATTTGACGCTAAAAAAACGTGACGTCACAACACACAATCTCGTACAAAATTCATAGAAAACTGTCGTTTTTGACGGTTCGAAAAAAGTATTGAATTTGACTAGTTGGCAAGTACCCTATTTTGAGCAACATTTCGACGCACATGCTACTAATAATTGACAACTGCTTAATGGGGCCTACCGTATTTTTGCTCACCAGGTGGCACTAGTGTGAACCTCATGTTTTTCGTCCAATAGGGAATTACCTGGCATCACGCCATTGTACGTTGAATATTTGACAGCTGCTGTGATAACGAATGGAGTTTCTTGCTCGTTCTTCTCCACTCGAATGTACTCTTTGGAACGAGCACCTAGCTTCACTGACGGACAGACCGACAGACTTTTATTTATTATTATTTGTTGACGTTTCAAAAGTAACATATTATGGTTTAAACTGTCAAACACCAAGCGGTCACCGGTGACCGCGACCTATTGTTCTTTAATTGTGTCTATAAAACCGGTACTCGACGAGTTAATTGAAAGAAATGCTTTAGATATTTTTTTTATTATATATATTAGCATTCAATTTCAATAACCTATCTATCTGTAGATTTGCTTACTAGAGATAGAATTTTGACATAAGTTCTATACAAAATGTGTCAAAATTCTATCTCTAGTAAGCAAATCTACAGATAGATAGGTTATTGAAACTGGCTGATAAACTAGTAGTCCAGGTACATTTGCGCCATCTAGTGAATAAAAAACGTTAGCCCCCATTGAAGCATGCTGTCTGCTTGAAATTAGCATTTGTAACAGTACATTATGCTGTTTGTAGTTAGACGCCACGGAGAGCGAGGCTCCGGCACTGCTGGACTAGCTCGACCGGAGTGATACCACGGCCTAACAGGAGCCGGCGTGAAACGATCCAAGCATTGTGTGCATTCGTGTGAGTGAGGGCAAAAGACGCCCAATTTCTCCCCTCCCTAAATCCCAAAACCCCCCAAAAGGCTGGCAAAATACTTATAATAGGCTTATACACGCGCTTTTATAATGTATCTAAAATAAATTCTATAGCCTTAATGTACATGTACCTCTAAAAAATTAAACATATTTTTTTCTCGCGTTATATACGAATGTAAATTAATTATTTTATAATGATTTCAAATTTCGCGCGTATTTCGCGAAAACGCGGCAAACAGCGGACGCCATGATTGTTTTGTAGTCGTGACGTCATTTCGTCAGTATTCATTCGGTAAACTACAGCTGAAAGTAATACACACTTGGTACAATGACAGCTGACAGCTTTTGTTTACTACCGTAATGACGTCTTTAGCATGGCGGCGACATTTTGTAGTGTTCACAGAGCATGGTAGTGTTCAAAGACAGATAAAAAAAAATATGATTAATACTTATGAAGTGAAACTAACATTTCCCGATTGCTTTGGCTCTAAGCAATAATTGTAAAATCCTTTTAATTTTTTTCTCGACTAAAATACCGTATTCCAAAAGTGTCTCGGGTGTCCATGTGCGGCGTCGATTGCTTACCATCAGAGGGCCTAGTCCAAGTTTGTTTTACGGAAACGTTACCACGTTTAGCTCTCTGGATTGGTTGGTGCATTGGAGCCGATCAATCAGAGCGTCGACCGCGGTAACGTTTCGATAACGTATAACGAAACTCGCACTATGCCTCAGGTGGTCCGTCTGCTCGTTTGCCGGCCAATATCATAAAGATAGTATTTAAGTCGCATTTATCAAGTTTTTTTATTTAATATTTCGCGTGCAAGAGGTTTAAGTGAAATAGCAGTAACAAAATCTTTAAAGGTTAACGGGAATAGCTACAAACGGCCTTTAAAATTATATTATTAGTTTGTATGTACACACGGCTACACATCGAGCTTTACATAACCAGTATAAACTGAACGTTCAATGTGCGGAAAGATGATGCGACGCGACACCAGGATAAACTAGTTTTGTATAGATTGATGTGTGGCCGTGTGTATTATGACCGTTTTCGCCAACCATGCCTAAAGCATGTCTTAACTAAATATCACTTTAGTATGATGTAGCACCTAGCCTTTTACTTATACTTACTGTTAGATGTCACTTATGGACTGCCTCGTCGCCAGGGTGGTCGCAAGTGCGACTCGGGCAAGGAGTCTCGGGTTTGATTCCCGGGTCGAGCAAAGTATTACTGGTTTTTTAAATCTCAGTGGTAGCACGGAGTCTGGAATTGTTCCCGGTATATGGGAATAGACTCACCCCTTATTACATGGGACTCATAACATAATAGTGAAAAGTGGGTGTTACATTGTACAGTGGCATTAAGTGCCGTAATGTGCACCTCTGTCTAAATATTGCTGTCTGCCTGTTGAATGTCACCTATATTAGTTTAAAGGTTCATTAAAATTAAGGACGGGTTGGTGAAAACGTTCATTAGAATTTGAGGTACAACTTGGCAATGAAGAGTGTGGAACAATTGAGTACTTTTCTTAATCAAAAATATATTATTTCGACGGTTTAATACAATAAAATACTAAAACATAATCACACTTTCATTAATTGATTTTATGACCAACCTAATTTTAGTAATTTTCCAGCATTTAAAAACAAATGAGTATGTTGTTTGACTCTAGAAAAACGTGACGTCACAGTCTCGTACAAAATTCATGGACAACTGTCGTTTTTGACAGTTCGAAAAAAGTATTGAATTTGACTAGTTATGCCAACTACACAATTGAGGTCGCTAGTATCGGACCTATGGCAACCTGGTATACTGCAACTCAATCGGTTTTGATATTTATTATTTTTTATTATCGAGTTTAAAAAGAGGAGGTACTATATTCGGATGATTGTTTATTAATGGGATGTGGTCCGAAGTGGGTGATTCAGTCCAAGTCATTATTAGTTTTAGCCATAGATAAAATAAAGTTTACTTTTTACTTACTTTTTTAATACTAGCTTTTACTCGCGGCTTCGCTCGCGTCAAAAAAGGATAAAAAGTAGCCTATGTGACATATACCAATACACACAGCGCCATCTATACCAATACTTTTGTTTTCCCTCGGGAATATTAATTTTTTCCGAGATAAAAAGTACCCTATTATTTAATCCAGACTTCTAACTTTACGTCTGTAAAAATTTAAAGCAACAGGTTTAGTAGTTACGGCGTGAAAGCGGAACAAACAAACAAACTCACTTTCCAATTTATAATATTAGTAAGGATGTCAGTGGTTCTAACTGTCACCGCGACTCTCTTTTGCCAAGTTGTAAATGATTTTAATCCCATTTCGACCTATAGTAGGATGATCTCGACAGAAAATAATTTGAATTTTAAAATATTTCAGGTGGAAGGAAAACGTACTGAAAAAGAACTTAGCAACGACCGCCCCGGTCCTCTCGTCGACAAACTACTCGAGCCGGAACGGAAATTGTCTTCAGGACAAAACTAAATTGATTATACACTATAATTAATTTAATTACATAGGTTATTCTGCGATTTTTTACTTTAATTTGGATATGTTTTAACTTTTATTCGCATAAACGTCCATTTTCCCGCTTATTCTTTTTAAAAAAATGTTTACACAAATTCTAAACCGCGTATTGTTTCCAGACCTGGTAGTATCGACATTGGTAACGACAGAATCCGGTCGCTAACTCGTGTTGACATTCACGACTTAGCAACTGTTTTTCATATCGAAATTGGTAACGACAAAATTTGATTGCTAAGTCATGATGACATTCACGATTTAGCGACTGTTTTTCAATGTGAAATACTTTTGTGATAAAGTTGAAAATCTGTTGAAGTATTTACGATTTATCTTAGATGACTTGTCCTGTCGCTTTAATTTTGGCTACCAGACACAATATTTAAACATTTTAAACGTTACTATTCTATTAAAGTTTAAAATCGCAGAATTATCTACTACATGTACAAATTAAAACCAAATTGATTAGTAATTAATTTAAACTGTTTAAACCATTTGATAACTTATCTCTTAATAGATTTTCTTATTAGAGATACAATTTTGACACATTTTGTATGAAATTTTATTTATATAAAATCGTATCTGTAGGAAGTAAAGCTACGTATAGATTGGTTATTGTAATGGTCGTTGACAGTTGACGCGCTTATGTTTATTTATTTTAGTTCGTAGAGGCGTTTACTCCGAAAAGGTACGTTTTGTCCATTATTTTTATGATTTTTTGGCTTGTGCATTTTTTTTCGGTCTTTTAGCAGACTTACACCACTTTTACAGATGTTGTATTTAGAACTAAATTAAAAAAATATTGGTTAGGTTCAGATATCGGTTAGGTGGTGCAGAAATAAACCTAACAGATGATATGTCAAATAGGGTAGTTTCCTAAATTTAATTTTAATGTCCGTCTGATACATTTAAAACTTACGAAACGTATTTTTTCTTTTCTCACAAAATTAAATACTTTCGACGATATATTGATTTGAAATATCGTGTGACGTCACAACGTGTCACATTTTGTAGCACGTTATGACGTAACAATCTCCCACTCCTAAACTTAGCGCCATTTTATCCAAGTATTGCAACTTAATACCAGAAAATAAAAAAAAAATATGTGATAATATTTTTTTCATTATCTAACTGACGGACTAATTAAATTTTTAATTTTGATACACTGTAAACTATTCAATTTTGATGTAAAAGTGTTGTAAGTCATTAAAAAATGCTAAATTCTTTGTTAATGCAACCCTTGGTGGTTAGTACATAGGTGGTTAGACTGCCTCGAGTGTTACGGAATTTTAAACTATATTATTATTCGAATTACGTCTAGTTTTGATGCACCGTTGTTGTCTAAGTATTTGATTTTACGATAGTTCTTACTCGGTTTGGGATTAGATACCGGGGACCGCCGTTCATTTGATTTGACTGAATATTGATGGTGGAAAGTAGGTGTTTGTTACGTTTATGAAAATGTATGCGTGCTTCATGCTCCGTCATTTGAGTATGGGAGAGCCATGCTCGGCACGAATGGGCCAGCTCGATGGGAGTGATACCACGACCTCACAGAAAACTGACGTGAAACAACGCTTGCGTTGTGTTTCGCCGTGTTAGTGAGATCACGGGAGGCCGGAGGGTAATTCCCTTGTTTACTGACTTATCCCATAAAAAAAATAAAAAATCCTCCTCCTTCGGGGATTAAAAACTTGATTCCATTTTGATATGTCACAAAATTCGGTCGTAACGATCAACCTTTTCAAGTACATTTTTTCCCTATAAAAGGCTTCAGCTTCTGACGGGACGGGTTAAAGATGTAATAGAGAAATGTCCGTCTGTTAGATTATTTTAAATCATTAGACACGTATTTTTTATTTTCTCACAGAAACGAATTCTATCGACGATATATTAATTTGAAATGTCGCGTGACGTCACTTCTATGTACATTTTGTACGTAGAAATAACGTTTTAGCCCCCATTCCTAAACTTTGATTCGTTTTATCTAAGCTTTGTTTTATTATGCGACAAAATAAAAAAATACGTGTCAAATATTATCTCATTACCTAACTAACGGACTAATTAGATTTTTCCGTCATCATCCCAATTATTTTAGCAACGGTGTGTCAAAAGAGTAACTAAATTGTTTATTTTTTATTTATATTTTTTTTCTATTTTACTTTTTTATTGGTTTCGTTAACACTCGGAGCAGTATTTAGCCGCTCTGCAGTTGTAGCCAAATGCCATTTAGCGCTTGTCTGCATGTAGAATAGAAATCCAAATTATATGGAATTGACGTTTGACACTTGTCTGTGTCATCCATTTTGATTTTTACTCTCTTTGCAGACAAGCGCTAGGGCACTGTATTGGTACCGGTTATCCGACAATAAATGAATACTAAGCCAATACATTCAGTATGCGGGTAAGAAAATGAAGATTGCTGTAGTACAAAACAGTAGCTATCATTACACTAAAATGGGTACTTTCCTTAATCAAAAATATATTATTTCGACTGTTCAATACAATAAAATATTAAAAAATAATCCTATTTTCATTAATTGATATCATGACCAACTTAATTTTAGTACTATTCCAGTTTTTTTATAAGAAATGTGTATGCTGTTTGACGCTAAATAAACGTGACGTCACAATACACAATCTCGTACTAAATTCATAGAAAACTCTCGTTTTTGACAGTTCGAAAAAAGTATTGAATTTAACTAGTTGGCAACATTAAACGCCATGGGTGTCACTGGTGACTTACGTTAGCCTTCAAGAGTTATCTATTGGCAGTCAAAACCTTAACGACGCTATATCTTGTCTATCTACAGTCAAAACCGTTTATAACGACATCGAAGGGACCGATTAATTATGATCGATATAACCAATAGTCGCTATAACCAATATCTTTATGCTTTACTAGCTTTTACCCGCGACTTCGCTCGCGTCACAAAAGGATAAAAAGTAGCCTATGTGACATATACCAATACATACAGCGCCATCTATACCAATACTTTTGTTTTCTCTCGGGAATATATAAATTTTTCGGGATAAAAAGTACCCTATTATTTAATCCGGACTTCTAACTTTACGTCTGCAAAAATTCAATGCAATCGGTTTAGTAGTTACGGCGTGAAGTCGGAACAAACAAACAAACAAACAAACTTACTTTCCGATTTATAATATTAGTAAGGATAAGACAATAGACTGGACCTCAAAATTTCGTCATTGTACCCGATTCGTCGTTATAAACGATGTCGTTGTAAGTGGTTTTGACTGTATTTACCAGTTCAGTACCCAATAAATAGCTGCTACTATCTTTATACTGAATCATTTTTTATTTTCTTACTTGGCTTACTTACAAACATACGAACGTTGGATGTGTTTAAACGTTTTTTTACGTATTTACACGGCTATGCATTTTATTTTAATATTGTCGGAATACTCAAACGCTACTCAATTTTGAGTCGCGCTTAAGTATAGTTCTATCTCCACAAATTCTTTGTAAAATGACAGAGATGGCACGATATTTAAGCACGACTTAAAATTGTGTAATGTTTCAGGATAGGAATATTATATTAAATACAAATATTTATTTTAATATTCAATTTCTGTGCAATAGTTACGCATATTGTAAGATATTTTATTATATTTGACTTCGTGTAAATTTTTTCCGCGGTAAAGTGTATTTTTTTTTATAAATATTTAATGATCAAATTGAATAGTTTTACGTTACGTTATGTTTATGGTTTTTTTTTCCAGAGTTTAAAATTATTTATTTGTTATTTTAATTTTATTTATTATTTTTCATTCATGTTGGTTATTTTAGGTGCTGTAAAAGTAACGAATGTTGGTTATTTTTTCTAAATTTAGGAGTATTATTTATTCTATAATTTTCGCTTTGAATTGAGGCTCTCTTACTCTTATGGCTTTGCTATAAGTAAGAGTAGGACAAAAATATATGTAATTTCAAGTAATGCAAGAATCACTGTCTTAGGGTAGAGTAGAAGCTATATTTCTATCCTTTTCTCTCCTATGCGTTTGAGGGAGATAGAAAACTTTAGTTTGAAACTCTTAGAGTAAGCGCCTGTCATAAAGTGTAGCTAAATTAAAGATATTTCCTTATTTATCTCAAAATTTCGTCCATTATTGATGCTTGCCGTTAGAAAATTAGATTTTTTGTATATATATATATCTAATCTATGTCTATTTATGCTGAAATGTTTGAAAAATATGCCATAACGTCATAGTATTAAAGTTAAAATTCTAATAAAATGTTCATTTCTCCATGTGAAGAGTTGTGACTTTAAATCTATGTCAATAAGGTGTATTATTCATTCATTGCTTTATAGTTCGTATATGAAAAAAAAACATGGCGCGCATTTTAAATTTCGAAGTGTTCGATTTTTTTTTATAAATAGGTACGCAAAAAGTATTTACTCGAAGCTTTTTTTTTCGCGAATAAAAGTATTATTTTTTTACCAAAAATTGTTTATCATAATTATAATTGTTTAGTGTGTCTTGCACAAAAATTTGACGTTCGATTGTGTAGCTTTATCCTGTAGCCCTTCGCTGCTTATTACCGATTTAGAAATAACGAGGTTATACGATTTTTGTGATTATTACTGAATATTGTTGCAATTTAAATTGTATGTATTGTTTTAAATGTTAATTAAAATACGTACAATTTTCTAGTCAAAATTCATTGCCTGAGTGTCTAATAGGGTAGATGCCTAATTTTTATTTTAATGTCCGCCTGGTAGATTGTTTTAAATCATTAGACACGTATTTTTTATTTTCTTCCAGAAACTAATACTTTCGACGATATATTGATTTGAAATGTCGCGTGACGTCACTTCTATGCACATTTTATACGTAGAAATGACGTTTTAACCCCTACTCCTAAACTTTGATTCGTTTTATCTAAGTATTGTTTTATTATACGACAAAATAAAAAATACGTGTCTAATATTTTTCATTAC